AAAAATAGGAGCTCTGTATTCATGCTTCTCTTCTGGCATTTACCACATTCTGCATTGAATTATATTTACCTGTGTATATATTTCATCCATATCCTAGGCTGTAAGCTCCTTAAGGACAGGGTGTTCAGCTTATTACTTCTGTCTCCTCCCTACCACCATGGTAATTGAATGGGTACATAAAGAAGTTGCCTTATAGAAGGATTCAACTGCTTTTTATATCAAAATGCATCCAAATTGTTTTGAGAATGTTGTTCCACTCCCTGAGATGACTGATGATACATAATGGGAAACAAGGGTTGAGAATCATTGGTCTCTGAGCTAACATTAAGCAAGGCCAATGGGTCAAAGTGGAGTAAGAGCAGCGAAGTCCTATTTTTCCCCCAGAGCAGTGAGACCCTATCCTTTCCCTATATGTTGATTAGGCAACCCTTTCCTCTATATTCTTAGCTTTTTCCCTCATATGCTGAGCAGACTACTTCCCTCATATGCTGAATAGGCAATCTCACCACTCCGTAGCCCACCCTATCACCAGTGACCTTGTGGTCAAGGGACTTTCCCAAGAATGCTCAAGGACAATAAGACCCCTCAACTCCTCAATGCCCTAGTAACTTGTATGACATCAAAGTCCTCATTAACATCTCAGGAATATGATAATGAAGGGACTCTCAAGAGTGAAAGTATAGCTATTTCATGATAGCCACCCAGAAGACTCAGTAAAGCACAGGCACAAGTCTTTTTTTGCTTACATAGCACAAAGATTATGCCATAGCAAATTTCCGCAAGTCACTCCCCCTTCATCTCCAGTATAAGCAAGTTCCCATTCCCCTTCCATGCAACCAACACGTATCCTGAGCTGCTTGGTTCCATTTGCTTTTATGACAATAAAGCTCTGCTTCGAAGGACGCTGGCCTTGGTATTCTTATCGACTCTGAACCAGCTCTCCCACTGCACAAGGACGTTAGAAGCACAAGTAACCTTAGAGGTCATCACATTAATCAATAAGCATTTATTAGGTGCCTACAATGTACCAGACAGCAGGGATAGAAATACAAAGAATGAAACAACCCTTTCTCTCATGTTACAAGTGAGGAAACTGAGGCCAGGTTTGCCCTGACCAAGATTGCACGCTTTCTTTAGTGTTGGGCCAGGAGTGAAACCCAGCTCTAGTGCTGCTACACTCCACACGCCTCTCTTTAGGGTGAGGATCTGGATGAATATAGATTGCCAAACTTGAAATCTTTAGCTAAAAGACTACACATTTGCCCTGTGCCAAAGAATAGAGTGCAATATGAATCATTTGCAGCACTTCTAGAATACTTTAGGGCTTTAGGAATTGTTAACTACTAAATCCATAAAAAACACCTATAAGTTTAGTTTCCCTGTGTCAGTGACTAAGCACAGCATCATAGATTTAGAAGCAAGCTCAAAAATTTAAAGCTAGAAGGGACCTTACACATGATCTCCTCCACCCCTCTCAGGTTACAGATAAGAAAACTGAGGCCCACGGAGGTGACAGTGACTTATCCTAAATTTCCAGGGTTGGGATCTGAACTCAGACTGGTTCCAAATCTAGTGCTTCATAGACTGTACTATTCTTCCTCTTAAGCAGAAAAAAAATGTATGTGACTTGACCCATGAACAATAATAATAAGGAAGAAAGCCAGGATTAAAACTTAAAATCATGGTTCCTACTTAATGAAGGCAGCTGTGGGGAAAAAAAAATTCATATTAGTCTAATAACATAATTTCCCACTAGGTGGCAGGAGACTAGCATGAATCTATCTACTGACTTCAGTCACACCAGAAGATCTTTGCTTTACAACTCAAAGTGACCTTAGAGATCTGTTAGTCCAACCCCCCTGTTTTACAGCTAAGGAAACTGAGGCCCAGAGAAGTGACTTGCCCAAATTCACATACACAGAAAAGTAAGAGAGCTTTGTATTGTCAGCCAAATGTAGAACTGTAGGATTTTAGAGTGGGACAGGAACAATTCAGTCTCATTTTACAGACAAAGTAACAGAGCCCCAAAGGATTTAAGGGAACTAGAACGTGAATGAGTGGCAAAACTGGGCTTACAATTCAGATCTCCTAATTCCAGTCTCCTTTCCATTCACCTTCATAACCTCTCATGAAGAAATATGCAAATGGGGTGAGAGATTGGATTAAGAGGGACTAAATTTCTCTAGGAATCTATGTCTGGAACAATGTATCTCTGATTTTTCAGGATATTCCCAATTTCGTGAAAGTGAAATGTACTTTTCATGAAACTGTGTAAAAAGACTATCTTTTTAATAGACTCTGGTCCTGATTTCTGGTTCAGAAAATACGGTCATAACTCTCATAGGCTAACTCAAAGTTTCACACTTAGAGGGAATAGAATTGACCTGTAAACCTTGGATTCTAGCATTATCAGAATTTTCACTAGTTGCTTTGTGACAATAAGTTCAAAACTTGTTCTCTACCTTGAGGAGACTTTTTGGCATAAACAGGGTGAATCTTGGGCCATTCTTCAAAAGATACCCACAGGAGGCCCGAGCGAGTCTTGAGCCATCCTTAATATGGAGGATGTCTGACAATCCAAGTCATTTTTATGGCAAGCACAGATTAATCTTAATGTTCTCCTGCGTTCTACAGTTTGAACCAGGCTCCCTGGCCCATCCTAGAGACTCCCTGGGGATGACTTTGAACCTTCGGGAGCTGCCCTTGATTAGAATGATGTCCCTATTTATACATATAGTCTTTAGAGACAAGACAAAACTGAAGCAATCTCTAGGGTTCAATAGAAAGGAAAACATTTTTCTAGGCAGTCTTTTCCATGACAGAAACCAATTTATGCCCGTCTAGTATGCCAGAGCGACAGATGAAAAACAATACAATATACATGCATGGTGGCACTTTCATGTTTCTTGGCTACATAAGGAAATATTACTGAGCATATTTCATTGTGAAAATTATACAATTTGGCAGAATGATAGTGATGCTGACAGAATGTGCTGAATTGTTAGGCTAAAGTGAATTTGAAAAGAACATCTCGTTTGCAGAATTGACAGATATTATTTGAAGCAATATATGTGATCTCTACATTAACCACAAAATAAGCAAAATTACTATAAAAGTTTTTCCTGAAACCTCAGCTAGTGACTTGACAGGTTTTTAATTGTATGCAATGCATGTCATTAATTTCTCGGGGGAAAAAGAACTAAAACACTTCCCAGTTCAAAAATCAGATAAGTCTAAAGAGATGAAAGGATAAAAAAGATGAGGAAATGAAATGTGTGAATACATGGCATGGTGAACTGGGAAAAATCTTTGCATCAAATATCTCCAATAAAGATATGATAGAAAAGATATATAGGGAAACAATGCAAATATATAATACCTAGAACCATTTCCTAGAGTGAACAATTGTGAACAGTTCTCGGGAGAATTGTAAACTCTTAACAACCACATGAAAGACTGCTCTAAGGGAGCAGCTAGGTGGTGCAGTGGATAGAGCACTGGCCCTGGATTCAGGAGGACCTGCGTTCAAATCCGGCCCCAGACACAAAACACTTACTAGCTGTGTGACCCTGGGCAAGTCACTTAACCCCACTGCCTAGGCCAAAAAAAAAAAAAGACTGCTCTAAATCACTAATAATGAGAGAAATGCAAATTAAAACAATTCTGAGGTTTCATCTCATACCCAGCAAATTGTTAAAGATGACCGAGGATGGGAATGGTCACTTTTGGAGGAGATGTGGAAAGCAAGGCACACTAATCCAGCACTTAATACAGTACCTGGCACATGGAAGTTGCATAATAAATGCTTGTTGAATTGACTAAAATGTTATTGGTGGATCTATGAATTGGTCCAACCATTCTGGAACGCAATACGGAATTATGTTAAGAAAGTGACGAAAGTGTCTATCCTTTGACTGAAAGGGTGACATGGTGAGGCACATTCCACAAGATCAAAGATAGAAAGAAAAGTCCAATATACTACAAAATATTTATAGAAATACTCCATAGTAGTAAAAACAAAATAGGGGCAGCTAGGTAGCACAGCGGATAGAGCACCTGCCTTGGATTCAAGAGGACCTGAGTTCAAATCTGACCTCAGACACAACAGTTACTAGCTGTGTGACCCTGGGCAAGTCACTTAACCCCATTGCCTCACCAAAAAAAAAAAAATAGATGACCATTGATTGGGGAATGGCTAAATGTGTTGAGGTACATGAATGGAACAGAATATTCCTGTCCCACAGCAAATGATGAATGTGAAGACTACAGGGAGGCATGGGCTGTCTGACACAAATGAAGGGAAAACCAAGGGGGGAAAACCACAATGACTACAACACTGGGCATGTAAAGAACAACCACAAAAAATAAAATTGGAACACTGGGTAATTGTAATGACCAAGCTTGCCCCTGAAGAAGAGACAGAAGAATGTAAATTTCTCCTTTCTTTGTAGAAGTGGGAGACTAGGGAGGTGGAATACAACCTACACAATCAGACTTCATTAATGTATTTATTGGTGCTGCTGAACTAACTTTTTTTTCGCTTTCTTTTTTTTCTATTTTGTCAGGAGGGATGGCTATCACAATGAGAGAGGCAAGACTATATAAAAGGAATATAAAAAACAAAATATCAATTTTTTAAAGGCATATGTGGTCATATGGAATGGAATGGAAGCCTTTTTCAAGAGTGCAGTAAATGCGGCTACCAGTTATTTCATTCCTCAGTGAGCCATTTCACAAGAGATAAAGGATTACTTCTCTTCTATGCTTCTAAACAGCTTGACATTTGAAAATAAGTTAGCAAATGCTATTTCCACTAATATCTGTTACAACAATAAACCTCCCTGGAGATGCAAAATCAGCACAAAGTCACTGACTTCAAAGAACCCTCTTTCAGGTAAAATGGAAGTTGCTCTGTTAGCTTGCTGGCAGTATGTGAAACCACTGACAACAATGAAATGGCCAGGTGACACTTTCCAAAACCAACCCTGCTTTTTTCTTACCTCTTCCTTCCTCTCCTCTGGACTAGTGGCTAAATTGAGGCTCAGCTGTGAGTGGCTGCTGATGCCACTGTCTTCATTACCATCATCATAATACACTGTTTTCACTGACTCCTGGAAGGACACTGGGCTCCTCCCCTTCAGGGCAGGCACTTCTGCTCTCTCTTCACTTTCCATTGAGCTCAGAGACAATGTGCTATGAGTGTTTGGACAACGGAAATTAATGTGGTACTTGGCATTTTCTGAAACAGGGCTCTGAGGTTTGGGGGCGGTGGGCCAAGGCGGTGTGCTAGGGTGCTCCAATTCACATGTAAACTGACTGGCATTTTTTGGTTTATCAGAGTCTTTGATAAATGCTTTCAGGGCAGTGGGGCTCGATGAGGAAGTGTCAGCAGACTGATGGACACCTCCTGATTCCTGGGGGGTTTTGGCTTTGAGAGGAAACACCTTTGTTTCAATTTCTGTATCAGTGCCCTGAGAAATGGTTGAACTGAGGCTAGGGATTACTGTAAAGGAAGACTCTACATTGCACACTGGGGATGTGCACCTCTTCTGGTCCTGCTCTGTATTGGTAGAAACACGGCGGGAGTAATCGTCGTGTAGTTGGCTGTTGAGCTGTATTCTTTGGTTTGGCTCGCTCGGGATTGGCGCCCCACTCTTAGGAGTCTCTCTCTTCCAAGCAGCATCGGCAACATTACTTACAAGTTTCAAAACTCGATCAAAATCCTTGGCTCTTATCGGACTCTTCCAGCGTTTTGACCTCCTGTCCAACCCACTGGTTTTATCAGAGCTGGTGGGAGAACTTAGCGTCCTTTGAATTTCATGTTTCTCATTTGTCATTTTCAGATCAGTGAGGTTTGAGGTGGACTTCCGCTTAAAAGAACTTTTCCTCAGGAAGTTCAAGTTATCGGTACTCTTGCTTCTCCTATAGATAATACGGTTATTTTCAGAGTTTTTCACTAGAATTTCACAGATTTGGGGCTCCTGCATGATGGGTGACAGAGGCCTGGCACAGTGCTGGGGGCCAGGATGCTTATCAGAGTCCAATAAGTTAATGCGGCCGACGCCATAGGCTCTCCTGATGCTCCTTGACCTGTGAGTATTCCTCAGGAAGACATCATCATTTTCTTCTGGGTCAGAGCAATCTGATACCCCCCCATCCACTGCCTTGTGGAAATCATTCAATTGTCCTCCATAAGAATACCTGTTAGTTTGGACTCCTGTCACAGAACCATTGGGAATGGGTTTTCCCAAGTCATTTTCAGAAGCATCCTCATTCAAGACATCTGGGTCCTCCCGACCCTGAATTCCTTGAAGAACTGAGGACTTCAGTTTTTTAAATGATCCCATTTTCCTGAAGGAAGACAGAGCATTCCAGGTGGAGGAATTGCCCATTAGAATCATTGAGCGGGGCCTTTCTGCATTGCAGCTACTCCTCTTCCTAGTGGCTGAGAAAAGACGCACGAGTTTGGAAGGGCTGAGTTTGTCTTCTTGGCCTTCTGAATCACTGTTATTACTGCTCTTGCATACCCCATTCTGACAAGAAGAATTAATGATTGTTCTGGTCTCAGCTGGTTCCATAACTATACAGGTGGTAGCAGGGCTATTCCCAAAGCCATTTTGCACTGTTGTCATGTTCTCAAGGCTAGAGGCACGTGGAGAGGGGGCATCATAACTCACACCCACACCCCAACGTTCAGCAGCTGCCCAAAGCACCGGTCGTTCATCCCTGGCACCTCCTGTGCCTCATATTCACATTGATTGTGTGTATTTGGCTCTTTGGTAGAAGGCACCACCTGCATAAAAAAAATAATAATAAAGCCAGAATTTAGCCATTCATTCCTTCACCAGAAACCTTGCAGCAGACAAGAGAGAATTGTTTTGCCTGACATTTTTGAAATAACCACTCATTTTGCACTACTGTAGTCTCCTAAAAATGTACTGTCATGTGTGAAGACAGTCTGTTCTTAGGTCTTATCCTTCTATGAGGGCTGTAGAGGCAAAAACGGTTTCTTATCTAAATTTTATATCTCCCCAATACCTAGTAACATGCTTTGTGCACAGAAGGTGCTTAATTAACTGTTGGCTGAATGAATAATTGGTATTATGATGAGAAGAATGTTTTAGGTGCTACAGTGGATAGAGTGCTAGACCTGGAGTCAGGAAGACCTGAGTTCAAATCCAGTCTTGGACACTTACTAGCTGTGTGACACTGAGTAAGCTACTTAACCTTTGACTCCATATTATATTATAATTATACATACATATATAAAACATATAATATAATCATATTATTATATTCCATATTACTTCCAAAATAGAGATAATATCACCTATCTCCTTGTATTGTTGTGAGGATAAAATGAGATAATATTTTTTTAAGTACTTTGCAAACCATAAAGTACTATATAAACACTAGCTATCATCATCATCATCATCATCATCATTATCATCATTGACAGTAATCAGGCAACACTTTGTAGGACATATTGGAAGAGAAAAGAGTAGAGGCAGGTAATCTATTTAGGAAGCAACTGCAACAGGCCAACCATGAATAAGGACTCAAATTAGGGCAGTGGCAAGGAGAACAGTGAAAAATGCAAAAGATATTATTACAAATGAAGAATCATCAGAACTTGGTAACATTAGATATAGCAAAGGTAACTGGATGGCTAACAGAATAATGGTAGCCTTAACATAAATTTTTTCTCTCGCTGTAAAAGATTTATCAAACACTTGAACTGGCTTACTGCACATGGACAAGGCTGCCATGCCAGAAATACTCTTCTTTCTCACTTCTGTTTCCTGGAATCCCTCATCTCCCTTCAGACTCAGCTCAAGCCCTGCCTTCTGTAGCTGATCTCCGCAACTGGTACTGGCTTCCCCCTACCCATATTTATTTTGTATTTATTCTGAATATAGTTCTTTAATGATAATAAGAATAACTACATGCATGTGGTATTTTAAAGTTTGCAAAGCCTTTACATATATCATCCTGTTTGATTCTCACAACAACCTGGTGAAGGAGGTGCTATTATTATCTTCATTTTATATATGAGGCCACTGGTGCCAACAGAGGTAAAGAATTTGTCCAATTCACGTGGCTAGTAAGTGACTGAGGTAGGATTCGAACTCAGTATGGCACTCCATCCACTACGCCCCCAAAGTATACAATGTTGCCCCCAGTGAAATGTAAGCTCCATGAGAGCAGGGACTGTGCCATTTTTTTTCTTTGTACACTAGCCACCTCATATGGTCCCTGGCCCGTGGTAAGTGCTTAAAAATGCTGACTGACTGATTGGATGGACAGTATACGGAACGAAGTACAACCACTGAAGAATAGAAATTGGGGAAAGATGCTACACTTGGGGTCATGGTCTTTAGAGAAGATATCTCCCTGCTCAACCTAGATGTTGAGAGCAGAAAGAGAACCTGAGACCAGTAGTCTCAGGAAGAAGGATGAGAGAGGGTCAATCACTTTGAAGGATATCTCATTTCACCTGATGGAAGGGTAAGACCAGGCCCTACCTACATTCTCTCCCCACAATGGAGTTTGAGTAGTGGATTTTAGGGGAATCTCAGTGACAAGACAGCCCAATTCAGGTAGGTTGATTTGGGAATAAGGTCTCACTGCCTCTCCTCATCTCAGTTCATAGTGAGACAGCTTTAAATGCTAACAGTTAGTCTTTATTTGTGTGCCCAAGTAATTCTACAAATTTCTACATATTTTTCAGGATATCATTTTCTCAATTGCTGGGTTAACTAAAACAAATTCAAAAATTCTAAGTTCCTAATTAGGGCAAATGACTTCTAGAAACACTAGTTATTTTCTGCACAGTTTATCTTGCTTTCATCATGAATGCTGAAGAAGGAAACAACAACAAAAAAAGGCCAAGAAGCACTTTTACTGGAATTTCTGAATAATGTCCTATGTTTCATTATTCACAACTAATCCTTTGACCTCTGCTAAATAATAAGGTCTATAATTCAATCAGTGATTGTGCAGTCAGTTCTGTGTTTTATGGGAAACCAGCCAGAAAAATCTATGCACAGAACCACAAGAATGAATTTTAGATGGGAATATGGAGAAGTAGATTGTCTTCAAGTTGGATTTTACTGTGCTATGAATTTTAGCCTACAGAAAGGCTTCTTAGAGGCATGGAGCATTTCTTGAAAATAACTATCAGATTTTTTTTTAACAAGCATTTATTTTGGAACTTTAAATCCATGAATATAAGAGGCTTAATGTCCATGTGACAAGGAAGGAGATTATTTAACATACAATTCAAACAGATTATGGGAAATGAGACATTGGGAGGAGAGACAAAAAATTTGTAATATCAAAGGAACAAAAATCATGATGTACTAGACCTGGGTTCAGAAGTCCTGGATTTGAACCCTGGCCCTAACATTTACTTGCCACAGGACACTGGGCAAGTCATTGAGCATCTCTGAGTCTCAGTTTCCTCATCTACAAACATGGAGATAATGTCATTCTTAAATCTATTTACGGATCCCGAACTCCTCTTCTGACCTCCAGTCTCACATTTTCAGTGGTCTAACAGGCTGCTCAAAGCAGATGTGTTAGGCGTTTCAGCTGTGTCCCATCCTTCATGACCTCATTTGGGGTTTTCTTGGAAAAGATACAGGAGTGGTTTGCCACTTCCTTCTCCAGCTCATATTATAGATGAGAAAACTGAGGCAAACAGGGTTAAGTAATTTGCCCAGGGTCACACAGCTAGTAAATGTCTGAGGCTGAATTTGAACTCAGGAAGATGAGCCTTCTTGACGCCAAGTCTGGTGCTCTATTCACTGTGCCACCTAGCTACCCTAGATGTCCTGAAGTCATCTTAAATTAAATATAACCAAAACTGAACTTATTGTATTCTCCCCCAAAATCTTCACCTCTTCCAAACTTTCCTCATTGTCATAATTACCAACATCCCCCCAATCACTCAGGGTCACAACTTAGGTGTCCTCCTCGACTCCCCCCATACCCAAATCCTATTGATTCTACTTCACAGCAGTTCACACATACACCTTCTTCTCTCTTTGGAAAGTGCCACTACCCTGGCTAAACGCCCACATCATCTCACACCTGGACTTTTACAATACCCTGCTACTTGATTTCCATGCCTCAGGTCTCTCTCTACTCCCAGCATCTCGGCTATCAAAGCGATCTTTCTAAGGTGCCAGTCATGCCACTCTGGGCACCCTGGGCAGAGCATGTCACTCTCCAATTCAATCAACTCCAGTGGCTTTCTATTACCTCCAAATTCAAATATATTTGGCTTTGACATGTTTGGCTTTTAAAGTCCTTTATAACCAGGCAGTTTCCTACTGTTCCAGTCTTCTTCCTCTCCTCCATGTAATCTGTGGTCCAGTGACACTTCCCTTCTTGCTCTTCCTCACACATGACACTCCTTCTCCCAAACTCTATGCATTTCCTCTGGCTTGCCTCATGCCTAGAACTCTCTTCCTCCTCCTCTCTGTCTCCTGGCTTCCTTCATGGCTCAGCTAAAATCCCAATATCTGTAAGAAAACCTTCCCAAGGAGTCCTTAATCTTAATGCCTTCCCCCTGAGATTACATCCAGTTTATCCTGTATATCAGGACAGCCAGGTGGCAGAGTGGACAGAGCACAAGGCCTAAAGTCAGGAAGTCAAATGTGACCTCAGACCCTTACTAGCCATGTGACCTTGGGACAAGTCATTTACCCTTGTTTGCCTCAGCTTCCTCATCTGTAAGATGAGCTGGAGAAGGAAATGGCAAAGCACTCCCAGTATCTTTACCAAGAAAACTCCAACTGGGGACGTGAAGAGTTGTACATGATTGAATAACAACATCCTCTATATCTCTTGCATGTATTTTGGCTTTCCCGTTAAGACTATGAGCTCCTTGAGAGCAGAGACAATGGTTTTGTCTTTCCTTGTTTCCTCAGTACTTAACAAGTGCCTGGCACATAGTATGTGATCAAAAAATGCTTGTTGATTTGATATTAGGTGCCTCTGAGAGTTACTGTAAGGAAAGTCCTTTGTAAACCTCAGAGAGCTATATATACACAAACTATTATTACTGTCCTTCTAATGATAGAGTCCCCCATCTGTTGGGTTGAGGAGTTGGATTAGGGTCAAATTCCCTAATTCCCTGTAACTGGAGGGTTTTGATAGAGGAAATTCTCAGGTAAGCGTTAGATGAGATAAGCTATGAAGATCCCTTCTAACTCTGGTACTCTAATGATTCCTAGGGACTCTAAAGGAAACAGCATTTTATCATCAAAAGAATATAATAGGAGATGTGAGTTTATAAGGCCTTAGATTTAGAGTTGGAAGGGAAGTGAGAGTTCATCAAATCTAAGATTTTTTTTTCAGGCAGGGCACCCTTTAAGGCATCCCATTGAATTGTTCTTCCTTATTGGGGCAAAATTGTCTTCCCTTTAACTGAAAAGCACTGTGGACAGGGAGCAGGTAGCCTTGGAGTAGGCAGTTAGGTAGTACAGTGGTTAGAGCATTAGACCTGAGTTCAAATCCAGCCTCAGACATTTCCTAGCTGTGTGACCCTGGGCAAATCATTGAACCATGTCTGCCTTAGTTTCCTCAACTATAAAGTGCAGATAATAATAGCATCTCCCAGGGTGTTGGGTTTTTTTTTTTTCATTTTTAAGATGAGGCCCAGAAAAGTCAAGAAGGCAAGAAGACATGCCTAAGGTCACACAGAGATTTGCTACTTACTAGATGTATGATTTGGGCAGACCACATACCCTCACTGGGCCATAGTTTCTAAAGTTTCCTTACTCA